CCCCGCCCAAGCTGCGCTTCCAAGATATAGGACCAAAACCCCAGCACCCCTCATGCTTTGAAGTTCACACTAATCGCCCGCAATGGCTACAAACACCGACCCCAACATCTGACCAACGACGTACTCATTCTGCCTTACGCAACATGTCGCGATTACATGATGGTACACTTCCTCTTGCAGCTGTAATGGCCAGCACTCGCGAGCGTTTAGCCTCATTTTTGCCCAGTAAAATTCAGACGATAGTTATAATACTTGATATACGCACATCAGATTACGTTTCGCGTTGAACATCCGCCCCGCACATCGCCAAGACGGCCGTGCTGCTGCTCGAGCTTGAACGAAGCATTGCGTAAGCCCCAAACCTTACATCCAAACCTTCCATAACTTAACATTCCCCTATCTCCTCAATGCTACGCCGTGGCAGCCGCCGGGCCGCAGCACAGGCGCAGCGGAGAAAGGAGGCCATGGCCCTGAGGGCAAGTCGGGTTTATCAGGACTGGGAGATTTGCAAGGATGTAACTGTCAGGCTGGGATTTGGAATTGTCTGCGAGTCCACCGAATTTGTTGCGGCCTTGGGGAAAAGTCGGAATCCACAAACACTGTGAAGAAGTCTCTCTGCAAATGATGGCGACTGTATTCAAATTCAGATCTCTTGACGTCGACTCATCCACGGCAAGTTTTCTTCCACGGAGGCTCTGAGTCTTCGACAACGTCGAAGCTGATCATCCGGATTCTGCAGCAGCCATGCGCTGCTTCCAGAGCTTGCGTCTACTCACGAACTGTGAAAGTTTGAGCCCAAGGCCAGTTGACAGGCTGGAAGAAGCTCTGGTAGAGGACTAGGCAGCAGCAAGAGTTCGAACGCAACAGACATACCGACCACATCACAGATAAAACAACGCACAAAATGAAGAAGCGATGTGAAGAGTGTTTGAGGGACGGCACGTCGCACAGTTCCCCGGCAACCCCATTGGTCGGGATAAGCCTTTAAAGCCTAAACGGCCTAAATCCTAGATTAGCCCTACGCTTAGCCAATTCCCAAACCCCCAAATCCCTAAAGCGCAGAGCCTGAACAACCCAAAACCCAAAACCTAAGGATCCTTTTTGCCGGATGTCGTAGCCATCCTGAAGTCATTAGCACTGCTTGGCCCGACGGTCGCTCCGCTCCGTCCCACGATGGGTTTTCGCACAAAGGAGACTGGAAGTCTAGGTTTCAGGCCCTGAGCCCTACCCAGAAGGCTCCTAAGTAGTTCCTTTTTATGGTTCATATTTAGAATCCTCTAAGGTAATCCCAGAAAGGAACTACTAAGGAGCCTATGGGTAGACCCTATAAACACTGAACCCCTAAAGGGATGAAAGGATCATTCCCCATGTTTTACCATCTCTAGTCCTCGCCGTATGCCTTGCCATCGTGCCTGCCTGCAACGAAGCGCGAACCCAGGTACTTTACTATACTCCACCAGACTATATTATATATAGTAAAGTATGGAGTATAGTAACCGTACATAACCAATATAGTAATTAGTATTAGTTTTATTAGTTGTAGTATATGGTCATCTAGGAGGAAGGGAATTCAACCGCTTCTCGAACCGACCGTCTCAGCAACATTATCCGGCACCGGAGTCACTCGTCAAGTGACTCCCGGCACGCGGGCCGGCCATAGATTCAGCACAGGCCCACTTCTTCCCAGGCTGGGATTCAGTCTCCTCGGCTGCTGGGGCAATAGCACCTGCAGCTGCAGCCTCTATCTACTCTACACTATGACAGTTTGAGTGGCTGAACCTCGGAGGAAATAGAACCAGGTTCATCGACACATACACACTGCTGCACTTCAGACGGTTTCATTCAGGGGTCTGCTTGAGGTTGACGGGCCAAACGGTCGGGGTCCGATCAGGGCGAACAGTGCTGGAGCCTAGCAGACGGGTACTTCTCAACTGTCGATCAGGTGCAAGGACTTGGGATGCAGAATCGTGAGGACATGGGATGATTGTTGTTCGATTAACTTTGCATGTCTGAGTGCGAGGCAAGTACGGCTTCTCGGCACATTGCCACACCGTGGCGATTCGAGTGCAGCAGTCGAGACCACAATCTAGCATCCTGAGCCCATGCCTTCTTGTCGCCGTGCTGCCTTCGTCACGATGGTCTTCAACTCCTGCAGGCAGTCAACCGTCGCGGTCATCCTTCTTTGATGTATATAGTTGGTGGAACGGAATAGGACATTGGTATAGCTCATGACATGAGTCCATTGGAGCGAGCAAAGTCTTTTCATGACCCGTACTGCTGTTGGCTGCCACGCATCTGCTGCTGTCGTTGCTGTTGCCGCTTCAACTGCTGTTTCAATATGTTGGTGATGATGATGACGACGATCAACGGGGGCTATGTGACGATGAACATGGCGATGACGAAGACCGTGAACATGTTGATGCTCATGACGACCACGCAAAAATTGCTACTACACGCGACTACTACATCGCCAATACTACCAAGATCGCTGGCATACTTACTGTACGCAAGCTGACAGGCACGACCGAATGCAAATCAAACACCAAGTAGATGCACTGCAGCGAAACTGACAGGTGCAGGAATGAGGATCCTGTTGATTCTCAGAACGGCAGGAAACGATCCGACAGTTCTGATGATACACCAGCTTAGCAGCAGTGTTTTACAACAGATACGATCGTGTGTTGATCACTGGTTTTTGCAAGTCCGACAGCCTAGACTGAAACCCTGCAGGTCCTCGAAGCGATAGCATTAAGTATTTCCAACCAATGCCTGCCGGAAAGCGGTTCTTGAAACCCGGGGTCCGCTTGAGATTCGCCAGGTGCGTATGTATAAATTTCAGACACAATGCTTCGAGAACAAGCACACAACCAAATGTATGAATGCAACTCCTTCGCACTGCATGTGCGCATGCGTGTATGCATGTATGTATATGTATATATGCATGCATGTACGTATGTATATATATATGTATAATTAATATATATATATGTATATACATACATACATACATACATACAGAGAGAGAGAGAGAAAAAAAAACATACCTCTGCGTGTCTATATCTCTACGTATAGATGTGTGTGTGTGTATATAAACACATCCATGCATTCATATGTCATACATACATACATACATGCATACATACATACATACATACATACATACATACATAACATACTTACTTACATACGTACATACGTACATCCATACATTCATGCCTTCATGATCGCGTACACAGCTAAATGTGTACATGTACAAACACACATGTTTTGAAAGACGGACAGATAGAAGATAGATAGACAGATAGATGGATAGACAACCAAAAAATAAATGTATATACACATGTTTATACGCATAACCAGACACATACATACATACAAGCATAGATACATACATACAGACATACCTACATGCATGCAGACAGATGGGCAGACAGACAGGCAGACAGACAGACAGACAGACCGACCGACAGGCAGACAGAGAGACCGACAGACCGACGGACAGACAGACAGACAGACAGACAGACAGACAGACAGACAGACACATACATATACATATGTACATATGTACATATGTACATATGTACACATGTATACACGCACGCATGACGATACAAAGGATCGATACAAAAGATACAAGTAGACAGGTTATTAGATAGATAGGTAGGTAGATAGCTAGATGGCTAGATAGGTAGGTAGATAGGTAGGTAGATAGATAGACTGCTGGATAGCGAGAACAGATAGATAGATAGATAGATAGATAGATGGACAAACAAATGGACAGACGGGCAGACAGACAAATTCGGCAAAGGTGTACGCACGTAAGGACTGGTCTACCACAGCATCCTGCACAGGACACTTGGCGCGACAATCGTGTGCATCCACTGTTTCATACATCCCCGCGACTCTGGAGGAACATCATACACAACTTTTAGAAGACAGGATCACGCTGACCAAAGTAAAAGGCCTAGTAGATGGTCCCGATAGGAGCAATGACCAAGGCAGACATAATCTTAGGAATCCGAACCCAATTACCAGCTCTTCAGTTCTGTGCGGCATGGAGGTGGTAACACTGAGTCACGAAGTTGGGTTTAACAACAACATTCACTTGAGTTGACACAGGCACGAAAGTGCTTTGAAGTTCATACAGGTTTAGGGTTCTGCAAGCCTAATCAGACTCCAGGCGCAATGTGAGGTCTTGTCGTCGATTGAAATCAAACATCGATGGCGATGGCGTGGATGCTGGCCTATGATTGATGTGTTCACCAAGTAGGAGGTGCCCTGCGGCTGTTCCTACACCATGACATGCTTCTTGTGCTGTGTCTTGTCGGAATGCGAAACCTTTCAATATCGAAGATGCCATGTGCATCGGTCTTTCGAACTGTCCAGCTCTGCACCGAGCTGCCTGTACACTGCCAAACAATGCACCAAGCCACACCCGAAGAGGCACATCCGTACAAAATGGCAGTTGAAAGTGCCTCCACAGAGGATGGAACATCTACTATCGAGCTTGTGACACTCTGGCACAGGGAGTCCAGGATCGGGCTCTTGAAACAGAGTCCTATCGCATCCGCCTTGCTACCCCCTGTGTCACGGTTCTGGCCCTTGCTTCTCATCCGTTCCGCGAGAAACTAGCCGGCCGTCGGCGGCAAAGCCTACTCAAAGCTCCTCGTTCAGCTTTCCTCGATAGGTCGAGTCCTCGCAGGATTTGCCAAAGTTATGATGTGCGCACTCAACATTGGAATCACAAGCCAAGCTGATATTTAAGCCTGGCCCTCCCTCTCGGAAGGCCTTCGAGCAGCCCCTTCTGTGTCCACTCCGCTCACGAAGGATGGGTCTAATAATATAGTAGTTCTTGCTTCACGAAGCTGCAGCGAGAAAATGCGAGGAAGGTAGGAACTTGACGGGGAGCACTGCAGAGAGAGTCAATCGTTGAAAGCGATGGTTTTCCGTTGTATAGCATTGTGCCTCAACATGGCGCATCATGTGGCATGGTCAGCCCTCTAAACCCCCAGCGTGTCCTTGAAAGGCTTCTCCAGCTCTAGCTCCCCAGAATCCTCGATCTTGCACTCCTGCCACCATCACGGTGCAGAGTGCCCGAGGGTAACAAACTGGAGGAACCCATCTCAAGAAATGCCTGCGAGCCGGAACGACATGGACCGTTGGGAGATTTCAACACTCGAAGCGTCGCAACCTTGAGCCCAGCCTACACTTCAAAGCCCATACCTGCTCTCATTCTCCCCCCCCCCCCCCGCAACCACAGAGCTTCTAACCTCAAACCCTCTTCACCAGGTCCTCCGCAGGTGGTGTGCCGTTCTGCTTCTCGATCTCCCTCACGAACTTCATGCCCTCAAGGATGGTACCGAAGACGACGTGCCGACCTAGGCGTAAAACTGTGAACCTTGCGGATCCCTTTCTTGGAGTCATGACGGAACAAGCAGCTTGACCACCGTAGTACCGTTATTACTGTTATTATTCATCAGCATGGCACATCTTGTTGGCTGACTGTAGAAATGATTCCGCACGGGCTGGTAATTCGCTCTCTCATGGCTTGACGGTGACTGATGAGGAGCAAGGTGCTGTTCAGGGCACAGACATGTCCAGAACGCACGAGACATGCTTCCAAGCCCAGCATTTCCTGTGCTTTGACACCTGAGCACTGCCGATTCCTTGCCTGGAGCTCTACCTGGATCTCAGCCTCACGCCATCCAGGTGCGGGGTGGTCACGGTGGTAATGAAGAACTGGCTGCCATTCGTGTCCTGTAAGGGGAGAGGATTTCGAGCTTAGGAAAAGGGTAGGTTGGGATCTGCAGCTGCAGGACCTTCAACGGGTTCAGGAACTCTCACCAAGCTCTTGATGTGACGATCGTGCCACAGCAGAACAACACTCAACACTCGGGTCACAGGTAAGCCCCGCAGCACCCTGCAACTCACTCCAGGCTGCAACTACCGAGGGTTGCCAAGTGTGTTGGAAAATAGCTGACTACATGCAAAGTCATGAAACCCGAACTTTCTCCAATCCGGTGTCTTACGAGACTCGCCGTGTATCTTCCTCTCTGACGGTCGAGGCGACCCAGGGACTCCAAAACAAGCCACCCCGACTTGCCACTTAGTGGACACGACGATACTAGCAAACAGCCACCCTCAGCGTCGGAATCACAAGGAGATGACCAGCCAAAGGGTACCAGTCATGTAACAGGCTGCCATAAAAAAAAGACCCTCCTTAAAAACGAGCTGAATAGCAAACCAACAGCCACAACGGCCTCTGAGGATCCCGAGCCCGAGCCCTCAGTCCCTGCTCTGGCCTTCCCGGCGTTTGCCATCGAGAGGAGACCTGACAGCCGTTCTTTTTTTTTTACCCCGCTGTAAACATACTAGTTAATTATTCATTATTGTAATTTGTTAGTATTTGTCACCACTATTCCTTTACCAAAAGGAGACTCCGAAGTAGGTAGGGATTGAAGAAACGGGGGTTCCTAAACAGGGCAGGGACTCTAAGGGCTAGCGGGAAAGGCTTCTACGGCCTTCTTGGCGGTGGGACAGTCAGGACGGAGTCATCGAGGCTTCAAAGAGAGAGAGAGAGAGATGCACATATACACACATACATGTATGTGTGTGTGTGTATGTCTGTCTGTATGTATGCATGTATGGTTGTACGTCAGTGTGTTTGTGTGTGTGTGTGTTAGTACATTTGCAAGCATATGAACTTGATCTCACACACACACATCTATGTGTATATTTGTATGTATGTACATATGGGCTAGTATCAAGTATGGCGAGGCTGTGCGCCAGCCTGACGAGTTTTTCAACATTGGGACACATCAGGAGTCTCTCTCTTGCTTGGATGCTACATGTAGAGCTCTTCAAAAGCAACTTCTCAGTTGGGGCACTCCTTTAGGTTCCATGGCTTCACGCCCTAAACAACTGGTACTGAGAGCGGCGACAACGGCGTCTTAACCAGAATTACAGTATTCGTCCCAAGTGAGAAGAGCCAAAAAACATTTACAATATTCAGCAATATTCATAAGCGCAATGTGTTGTACTGTGGCTCACATGGATATGGAGGCGAGGCTGCCACAAAGTCAAGTCGTGTAAGACGCCCATATTGACCAATGATCAAGAAATCTGACTAACGAAAACACCGTTTGCAGCATCCCCCCTTCCCTATGTACAAGTATATTATGCAAGGCTCTTGAGAAAGACTCCCGCCTGGCCGCTTGTGCTTCAGCTTGAAGTTCTCGTCCGCGAACTTCTCACCTGGAAAGTCTGAGCTTTCCGTGCGTCGCCGCAAATGTGCTGCCTCTGACACTTGTTTTATTCTCCCGGTGTCCGTGAAGCCCGATTTGCAAAGCCTGTTGGTTCTCTGACGAGGCTCTGATGTAGACCGGGGCTGCGACCAACATGGGTGTTGTGTTCCAGATCAGGCTCTTTCGTTGGCATCCCCATGGCGATACTGCCGATAGTCAAAAGTAAGGGGGCGCACCATAGATGGACTTGCCACCCGTGCCGTCGCCCTTGGTGAAGTCGCCGCCTCTTCGCACATGTGCCACTGTGAGTTGGGAGTAGTAAATGACAGTTAATGGTAGATGCGAGCAACTGCTATTCTCAACACCGAACAATACCATGCCCTGCCCTTGAGGGTTGGATGAAAACAGCTGGCTCTGCGCAGCCACGTCTGCTGCTGCTGCTGCTGCTCCTTCTAGCCTTCCTCGTCCTCCTCCACCAAAATACTGGTGCTAGTACTTCCGCGACAGTGAAACCTGAAAGTAGAATACTGCGAATGTTGGGTGCTTGCGGCTGCTCGTAGTCCCTCCCCTCAAAAGTAAGACCAAGCCTGTCCAAAACTTCTAAACCCTTCTGAAACTCGGACAACAAGGATGCCCCAAGCCTTAAAGCTAAAAAATATCGGAACACCCAGAAAACAGCGCGGATGACCCATTGTCCGATGCCCCTTTCCGGAGGCATCCAGGCCTTGGATCATGAAGTCCTGCAGAAGAGACTCAGAGAGCCCAATAACTAGCCTTTATAATTAGGGAATATACCATTAAATCATAATATCAAGGCCCCTATAATTTAGGGTTTAGGGCTTGGGAATATACCAATAGTATCAAGGACCCTATAATTTAGGTTCTCTGGGGACATTGAAATGAGGCCGTGCAATTACGAGCGCTCGGAGAACTCGCGAGACTAAATCGAGATGCTGGCTACCCTGTCGGTGCCAGCCCTGAGATGCAAAGCCTTTTCCGACGCCTTCACGCCCCAGGTGAGTTTATGACTGGACTATGCTGCTCTGTGCCATTGCGAAGTGGCCTCTTGCCACTTGTCAACGCGATGCAAGGAAAGGTGTCATAGGCAATAAGCTCATTCTTGTTACAACGGCTCTCATGTCACGTTGACCAGCGCAATGTCCCACCCCGTAGAGGGTCTCTGTATGGTCAAGTTTCCACGAAGCAGCGACCCTCTTGGGGTGAAGAGCCGTGTGGCCTTCAAAACGGCCTCCACGAAAACCTGCACAACCCAAGGTTAACTTGGACTGTGTCTTTAAAGGCCTCTACGAATTGAAATCAGAGTGTCGACCAACCACATACAGCCATGGGTGATCAGGGTAGCTGGGATGACGACGTGTTCCTTGACATGTTGGAAGCGCGACCAGTCTTGACTGCCTTACCGACTGCTGAGTCCTACATTGCAATCGTACCTCTTTCCACTCCACTAAGCGTACGTACACTCCCGTACACGAAACTACAGTTGATGATCAAAATCCTGCATTACCCATAATAAGGAATATACCATAATTCCCTAAACTATTTATATCATCAGCAGTAGCAAACTATAGATACCCACACCCCCAGGAAAAGCAAAGGGTGGAAGGCAGCTCCAAGCTCTCACAGCTTGGACACCAGGAAGGTGCTTGCCTTGGGATGCTTCATGTGCCTTTAGGGTTTACGTGTAGGGTTCTGGTCTCGGGGTTAAGCCCTCAGGTTTAGGCTTAATCTTTAGCGTTCAAGGCTCGCGTATTCGAACTGATCTGGGACAAAAGTGCAGTTTATTTTTGTTTCGGGTCTATATACCAGAGGAGAGTGCCCGGCTTTTTCTTGCGTAGTGAGGGTCCTCGAATTACTACTGTTCGTTTTGTCCTTGCTCTTACTAGCCCTGCTTTCACTGCTAGTCTGAAGTGCTTCGCAAGTTGCGACCTTCAGCTGCTCTGCCGCCTGGTGGACCATCTCCTCCACAATCTGCCCTGCAGGCTTCACATCCTGGCATGGCCAGAAGTCGGGAGTTTGAAGCATTTGGAGCTCAAGGTTGCTGCTTGGGCTTTGCTGGATTACTTCGAACGACTTCCTGTGCAGTTCGGCACCTACCATGCATCAGACTCGCCGAAGCCCCTACACTCTATAATTTCTGTCACGGTGTGCTCCAAAAAAATTTTGCCTCTGAAAGCCCCAGCCAGACTGCAATCCTGAACTTTAAGCCCGTGCCCAGAGGATCCCGTCTCTGTGCATCTCTTCTCTCTCCCCCTCTTTTGCTACTAGCAGCAACCGAAATCCTAGGCCCTCACTTCTGTCGGACGAGTCAGGGAGCCTCGATGGCTCCGGCACACTGGCCGGCCAAGAAGACGCCCCGCTCCCGGATCTGCCTCCGATTGAGCCTTGGGAATTGCGGCTTTAGAATCAGGGGCGGGGCGTACCTTAAACTTGTATACCCGCCTGCACTTGTCAGCGCGGCGCATCTTTAAGTCGGGGTTGTTTGTCGTGAGATCAGCCAATGTCGAAACATGATGAATCGTAGGATTAGGCGCTCGGCTTGTCGTTGGGCTGAGTGCTGCAGGACCGTAGGGACGGCTGGACAGGTGATACTCCTTCAATGATGAAAAGGACGAGAGCAGTACTTGCTACTTGGATGTGGATGCCCGATCTGGCAAGCATTTGTCTCTTCATATACATAGATAAATGACCAATAGATAAATATGTATATACATATATATACATACTCACACACATGTTTATGCGTATATATACATATATATACATACATGCATACATACATACATACATACATACATACATACATACATGTAGATATTTTTACATACATACATGCGCATGTACAGTGCCATGTATCCGTATGTGCATGTAATAGAATATGAGTGCATACGTAAGAAGATGTTCTTATACAGAAGAACGCGCACGCAGGAGTGCAGGTTCAAGTTCAGAGCAGGGAACAAAGCCTTGAATGAGTCGCAGCCTCAGCAAGAACCGCCGTGGGAAGTCAATTCAGCTGTAGCTGCCGAACACCACAAGACAAAAGGGACAACCACACGAGGTTCCAGGTCTCTACTCACTCACCCCACCATCGTGCCCTACCCCTGGATTCTGCAAAACAGGGGCTGCAAGCCGTTCTTCTTCTCCTGCCGATGGACAAATTTTGAGTTCGCGCTTTCCCTGATGGTGCACTTCGATTGGCTTAAGGTGGAGGGTGCTCAGATCTTATGAAGGACTTGGCAGCCTCCTGCAATCTCAGCCCAACTCGTATCTCCATTGGCTAGGTAATCCATGGCGGCTTTTGGCAAGAACAGTAACAGCACCAATGCCACTAGCACCTCCACTAATGACCACCACGGCTAAGCCGATGCTGCCTGTGCTACATCACCACTAGCACCGACGAGCACGATGACGACCGGGACGACTACCACTATTGCTGCTGCCACTGCGACGACGACTACTACTAAACGAGTACCTATAACAACAACGCTGAACATGCAAAAATCAGAATGCTACCAGTCATAGCAATACTATAAAGCTAAAAGTCATCATCTGCTTCATCATCATCGTAACAACAATGAGAACTTTCATGTTTATGCTGGCCTCCTGGGTGAGAACTTCGGCTTGCTGAAGCAGGCCCACACTGGCGCCACCTTGAGGTGGCTTAGGGGTGGAGGGTCAAGGGGGTTTAGGGTTTAGGGTTTGGGCGGCTAACGGCTAAGGATCGAAGCCTTAAGGCCTTAAGGGCATTGGGCCTGCGGGCTTGAGGCCTACCCTGTACATCCAGCGATTGTGCACACGTTAAAGGCCGATATCTCGTGCGGCAATTTTGTTGAGGTTCGGGATAGCAGCTGACACCACACCCAACCTCCAGGAAGCTTCTCAAACCCCGAATCCAAAAGCTACACCGCAATTCCTAAACCCAGACCCTAAGCTTCCAAACCTAGCTCCAAGACTACCATACTGGACCACTGGACCGAAACCGCTCCTTCCAGGTCTGAGAGGTTCTCCACATCTTTGACCCACGGGGGGATGCCCGAAGCCTCCCAGCCGTGCTGTGACTGTCATCAGTTGCCCGGGATCTATGCTGTTGATATTCAGGGCGTCGTGATGACGATGATGAGAACGCATATGACGATCACGGGCAAAGAGAAGAAGGATATTGCCAAAACCAACAAAAAAGATTACTGTCTGTCGATTCGTCAGAACATGAAGAAAAAGCAATTACACGAGCAGCAGCAGCAGGAGTAGTAGTAGTAGTAGTAGTAGTCGTAGTCGTAGTCGTAGTAGTAGTAGTAGTAGTAGTAGTAGTCGTCGTCGCAGTAGTAGTAGCAG